GTTAAGTTGAAATTCCCCATAGAGCTTCGAGCATCAATCAGTCAAACCTTGGAATGTCTTTTAAAATCGGACAATATCAGCCAGCTCTGAAAAATTGCGCGATGTCATTCGGTTTCCCCATTCTAGTGTGACAGTCCGGACCTTGACACAAAGATGTGAGTCGTCCCCAGTAATTCACGGATCAAGTGAAACCGATTCATCAAATGTCCTGTCAGTGGCATCCCATCGCGATAACGTCTTCGATCGTATCTTTCTCGCGAAAGAGAGCGACAGTCATACTCCATGCTGCTGTCGAATACAGTTTCGAGGACATGGTTCCATTGCTTCTCGAACTTCCTCGATCGCTAGCTTGTATACGACTGTTCCATTTCGAGTTTTATCAACCGAAGCCTAGACAATATGACAAGGTTCTCACGGTCAGCTAGCAAACTGGATCCTTGACGTGAGTACTCGACAGTTCGAAGCTGACGATTTATGAGAACAGTGATAGGCTGTACCCAAGTCCGCCACATTGATTTCAAATACACATACACAAGAGAAGATATCACATGTATTTTGCACTTGGCGGGTTTCACCCGTTCTTCCGGCATTCCTATTTCCGATCTATGTTTCAAACCGAGTCAATGCCGTCTTCCCCTTGTACCGATGAACACCTCAGACGGAGTCCTTTACGTCCTCTCCGTGCTCCGGCGACCTCCCGACACGATTCGTCCCCTTGTGGTCCCTCCAGACGACCATTAGCGTCTGGCTGAGCAGCATCACTGCCGCCACCATCCCGTCACCGCGGCCAGCGCGGCTATCCAGTGCGCCACCCGACGCCGGACCCATGAGCGTCAGAAGGCGAACGCCGTAGCAAACACGCTGGGGACGAGCGTCTGCCAGGCTCTGCCGCCACGCCGCCCCCGTCACGAGTTTCAGACAGGGTGTTAAAGCTCCACCGAGTGGCGAGTACAGCCTTGTGGAGTGTCATGGCGCCGCACAGCAGCCATCAAGAGGGCTGCAGACCCAGCGCCGACAACCGACAGCGGCCGGTTTCATAAAGCTTGGTGGTATTTTACCGTTGGGCGTGCGTCATTCGCCCTTTACACCCTTTTATGAAATCGACAGCAGGGCTGCATCAGCAGATGCACCGTTGCGGCCAATAGCAGACAAACGCTCATCACAAAGTACAGATTGCCACACGGCTCAAAAAGACGTTCCCACACGAAATCCGTGGTGATTACGGAGCGAGCGAAGCGAGCGTAGTCTTTCCTTAGATTAACGGAAATTTCTGAGTATGAGCGGCCGGCCGGCCGGCCGGCCGTGGTCACGCTTTTGCGAGGCTTATATCTCAGCAACCACTTGACCGATTTACACGCGGTAATTTTTGTAGGGTAGCTTCATTCCTTCCACCAAGTATTGGACTATTCCTGATGCATGTGGGTGACCCCTTATGCACGTGCCACGTGCAAAACGAAGAGGTGTCCGTTTTGTAATTGTTGCAATATCTCGGTAACTACTTGGCCGATTGCGCTGAAAGTTGGCATGTAGGTAGGCACCCACTAGGCACTGCATATCCATGTGCCAGAGTTGGGGTGCTGCTGCACGTGCGCACGTGCAGGGGTCGTTTCCAGATCTCGAGAACGGCTGGACCGATGGCGCTCAAATTTGGTACACGGTTAGGGACCAGTTAGTAGGGTGCCGTGCACAAGTCAGTTGGGACCCATTTTGCACGTGCGCACGTGCAGGGTGCCGCTCCCAGATCTCGAGAACGGCTGGGCCGATTGTGCTCAAATTTGGCACATCTCTAGAGACCGGTCAGTAGGGTGCCGTGCACAAGTCAGTTGGAGGTACCCCCTCGAAATTTCGCACGTGCAAGGCCCACCCTTTCGCTCGCTCCGTTAGTCGCCCCAAAAGGCGTTATACTGGTGTAGGTGCTGGAGGCTATAAACAAGAAGAGAATCGGAGTTCTGTCGCCATAGCGCTGACTGTCGGGAACGCGTACGGAACGTGTAGAAACCTTAAAGTAAATGATTATTTGTACGTACATCTCACGGAGCTGTGCGAGCAATCGCCTGTTTGAAGGTACTTACATAACTCTGACAGGAATTGTTTCAACTCATTATCGGTCCCAAGCGACCGTTTATAGAACTGGGAAAACGGTGTACAAAGAAGGGAATGGGTGCGTCCAGCTTATAAACGAGACGGATTACATATAACTATTCCACAGTTTACACAGCATGCGTCAGTTTCGTGTTACACTTGTTGTAGTTCTTACGACACTCCAGGATCCACGAGTGAGTCATGGCACGGCTGTGTACTGCTTAGTTACGGAATATCCATAGTCGTCATCATTTAGTTCAGTCAACATGCTCCAGATGTTTGTTACTGCTATTGTTTTTAGGTTTCTTTCTGTCTGAGCCTTTTTTGCTATCATCGGATTTCCCTACTCCTCAGGCCCGTCGGAATATATTGTAGCCATGTGAACCATTCCATTTTCTATTCCATTCCAGAATGTTTATTGCGCATCGACAACCTAGTAAAACGATCGGAAAATGAACATGAATAACAGAGATAAAGCAAAATAATATACCTAAGAGTGATGCAAAAGCACATTAAGCTTGACTCTAGGCACCACCTCTTGTAACATAATCAGATAGACATCATAAACATAAAACAACATGAACATAGCCTTCAGATCAACGTCGAATATAACATAAACATACAACGTAATGAAGGTAACGTAGCGTAATGAAACAAAACTACCACTGCCGCCGCCACGACAGGCCACCGACCCAACCCGCGCTGACGTCACTCAGCCCACCGGGGACGCCGCCCACAAAACTGAATGAGGTAGGTAAATTAATAGGTAAATCTGTGCGAGCGAAGCAAGAAATTTTGGAAATGCTGAGCCACCGCACGACAGTCCCCGCCGCCAAGATCGTCGCCATGCAAAAGAACACGTAATAACCGTGAAGTTGACATTTGCCCAAAATTTTCGCCAAAAATTTGCAACATGTCCCGGTAAAGTTCCTCTTTCTGCAAATTGTAGTTGGAACACGCGAGAATGAAATGATGAATATTTTCTGTTTCAAAGCCACAAGCACATTCAGGTGTATCGTGCCTTTGTATTTGAAATAAATGTGAATTTAGTTGTGACATTTGCATTCGTAGCCTAGAATGGAAAATATTGCCCATTTTAGTGTCAATTTTGTAAAAGGGAGAAGGCCCAGGCACCCCCACTCCCCAGTCGCCTCGAGATCTCTCGTTGAAAGGAACGAGGAGGAAGGGATGAAATGATGAACCATCTGAACCATCTGGGTTTAATATATTGTTTTGAAACGAATATCTTCTAGCTTTGACAAGCCATTAATCTTTTTGCTTTATAAAGTATTGCAAATTAATGAACAACTTCTTATGACCGGTTCTTTTCCGTCATGGATAGACTCAGTTCAGCGATATCAGTAGGTATACTACCAAACTTGTACTTCTAAACTAAATTTGTGGTTGGCAAGTGTGCGCCTAATTTCTCTTCCGTACATTATTGCATTGTCTGACGTCCATCAATCGTCCACCAGTTCACTGTCGCTGTTCGCTGGCTCAATGCTGTGAGGGACTATCGTTCATTTGTTCGTATGTTCGCCCATCCGCCAGTCTTTCCATATTGGTCGGTCTATACGCCCATTTGTTCGCCTTCCCAGCTGACTGCCTGTCCGTCTGTCCGATCAGTCTGCCTTTCTGCCCAACTGTCTTCCTGTCTGTCTGTCCGTCTGTCCGTCTGTCCGTCCGTCCGTCTGCCCGGCAGGCCGTCAGTCCGTCTGTCCGTCTGTCCGTCTGTCCGTCTGTCCGTCTGTCCGTCTGTCCGTCTGTCCGTCTGTCCGTCTGTCCGTCTGCCGTCGTTCCCGCAGTCGACTCAGTGTGAAACGGTACTAAGCCAAACCACAAGCCGACTGGCTGCAGCCTGTTAGTGCAGTTCGGTAATATCATGCAACGATCGTGACGTCATACGAAGCAGTGACGTCATATCTGGTGAATGTCGCTGCCGCTTAACTGACCATGAAATCAGTGGGTGAACTGCAAATGCACTTACGTATGATTATTTGATCTAGCGGTGCATTAGCATACGGTTGCGTGCATGTTTCTCCAGACTGCCGTCAACCACATCGCCCAGAATCGCATTTGGTGTGTGTGAATGGGTGTCCTTGGACAGCCGGTTCCGTTGCGTGCTGTTGAATCATGAAACGGACTTCCTACAATGCAGGCCAGTGAGCGGTAAGTCTATCTATGTAGAGGTTCTTACAATTACAAGAAACAAATTTAGATGTTTATAAATAGACTCCGAATGCACTTCTTACCTATCTAATTCGCCTTATACACAATAGCTAAGAACCTGGCCGATATTTTAGTGGTTGTCGTGAGCACGAGCGTGAGGCGAACAAGTAGGTGTTCTTTGGATTTATTTACAAACAAGGATTCAACACTGGTCTCTTATGTCACCAACAACGGCTAAGTTTATATAGCAAAATATCTCGGCAAGACAGATCATTAGCAGCGTCCGTCTCGTTTTCGTTTTGCTAATTTGAAATTTTACGCATGCCAAACATCGGCGTTTTGACATGGTAATTTATAAATTAAATGCAAAGAACAATAACAATGTACCAGGAAACATACCAGGATCCATCTTTTTGGTCCTTAACCCCTGCCATGGCCTGCTAAAAAGAACCTACAATCACATTGTTAAGCGATGCTGTTTCATGCCGCCAGGCCCCAACCTTTGACCGTGATGAATTTACCTCATTCTTTGGCAACTCAATTAAAATACAGGCAATAAGCAATTAAAATACACGCATTATAGTACGTAACGTTTTTCAGGACGGTTATCATTGCAGAGTGATTGCACTATAGTTTTAATCGATGTAGCTGTTTAAAATCAAAATTATAAGCTCATGACCAATGAATATCCTCTTAGCACTCCAAGCCATCCTTCATCAATACTACCCAAAAGCATTGGCAATCTCCTATTTTTTTTTCGCTCTCCTCCCTGACAATTGTATTTCCAGTAAATGCAAGGAAGTCAGGCAAACGATGCAACCGAGAGCGATAGGTACTGCTGCTTTTCGCAAAAGCACCGATAAACCATCGCTGTCGTAGTACATTTTCTAAGCATAACAGGAGCCTTCAATATAACGGTATGCTGGTCAAAATGACTTGAAAATATTTGTATCTGACTGCCTGTTGTGTTTCACCATACGCTTGGGGCATGGTCATTGTTCCGATCACATGCTGCACGACTTTTTGAATAGGAATTAGGATATTTGCCGATGCAAGCTATCAAATTTGTGCTGATACAAGTTTTAAATGCATACCATCAACGAATATGTAGAAAAATAAATTATAGCTTATTATCTTCACGAAACACTGATCTATCGCTAACTAAATGTGTCACAGATAAGTATCGATGGTTTCCACGGAGGCTGAGCTGGACAGTTCGTTCACTGGATCCAGGTGGCGCCGCAGTCGCCCAGATACTGTGCAGATGGCGCTGGCTGAATGTCGCCGTAGCTTAGATCGGTCGCCACAGCCGACAATCTGCCGAAATGCTGCGGCGAATTCTGCGTTTTTCCAGCCATAAACCACCGGGTTGATGGCTGATTTGGCGAAGTATAATGACACGAACATCTGTGAAACGGTAACACTTGTATCAAAGGTTTGACGCTCGTGGAATGGCTCGGGGACGAGACGGTCAGCGGACACAGGACGCTGCAGATTGTGCTCGGTGCTCGCTCCCCATCCAAGAGGGCACCACAGGGCTCATTTACAGTGGGGAAGACACTAGGCAATACAAAGTTTTGTCGACGACAAAGCAGCTTACGAAATTCAAGCCAGATTGAAAAATAACAATTGAAACTTGGAAGTGTAAAAAAAAATGAATCGTTTACCCAGCACCAGAGTCAGAATAGACGATAATGGCTCCATTCTTTTTGCATTAGTCTGAACCATGTAATTAAAATTCATCCTCTCCACCCTCAGGATCCCCCATACAAGGGGACGGGCCTAGACGCTGCGCTAGTCCGGGTCACTGGCCGCCTCAGCCACGGTCCTGCATGGTGTGATCGTTAACCGTTTTCACGACGGGCTATCCGGCGAATGCACCTGATTTGACCAAATCTGCACCTAATTTCTTGTACAGCAAATATCTTCATTTTATGAATTTATTTCAGTGTTTTAATCGATGATGCTCTCTGATAATATGACAAAGCAGGCATATAAGCAATTAGTGCAACCCTAGCTGATAGCTGCTAGGAGACACACTGAACCTGATTTGACCAAATCTGCACCTAATCTGCACCAGATGTGCACCAAATGTGTACCAGATGGCCGTCTTAAAAACGGCTTTATTATTTATAGATCGAATGGGCTCGAGTTTATATAACAAGTAGTAAAACGTCTATTACCTTTAAAAGGTCCAAGAGAGATAAGTACCTTATTATTTTCTTGGTAAATTAGCAGTTTGGCACCATCTCACGGTGTAACGTCTCATTTTGCTCTCATGTCCAGCACCTCTAATGGCGTTTACCACAACTCAATTACCTGGTTTACCTTCTTCAGTTCGGAGAGGACGTTCTCATGTATGTATATGTTCTCAATGTACGCATATCTGAGGCACACTCCCAAGGCGTACGGGAGCATGGCCACCGTATTACAGCCCAGTATCAGCACCTGAAACAGAATCGAAGGACCGTCGGCACACAAATGTCCATCCAGTGAACTTATTAGGATGCGTCACACCCGTTCCATGCTTCTATCCTCAGGATGAAGAAATCCTTCTCCTCCACGCCGCAACCCCTCTCCGGGCTGGACAGGCAACTTTATCTCATGCGGGCTGCTCCCTTGGAGCGGCACCGCTGCTCCCGAGGGAGCGCACCCCGTAGCCGGGTGCAGTGAGTGCCTTGGGGCTGGGTGGCCTGTCCTCTGGACGGGCTCAGCCCCGGCGACTCACTAGGGTGCCTGCCCAGACCAATGTCTCCCCCTATATCCTATCATCCTTCCGGCTCTGCAATGGTCTTGTCAGACCGAAAGGGCCTATCCCAACAAAACAAAAACAAAACAAAATTAGGATGCGTGATTTTTCTAGGACGAATTAACTCCTCCAGCTCTTTTTTCTGATATTTTGTGGCCTTAACTTCAATTATAAAAACATTATTTGATGCGCAAGAAACATATATTCATAAATACGCAACCCATCTCGACAAAAAAAAAACTGATTATTTCTGAAAATTTAAAAGGCTGCAATAAAGATATAATAATAGGGCAGCTATAAAAACGTCTAAAATAGCAAGTATTAATTTCTGCATATTGCATAATTGAACAGTAAGTAAGCGTTTACGTGAGGCCACTTTCTACCTCATGGCATGGCGCTAACTTTAACCCGGCACCGCCTGGGCTATTTCCGTACCCACGACAGCCTGGGGGGGGGGGGGTCGGATCCGACCCCCCCCCCCTGTTATCTCGAGAACCAATGGTCGTATCGAGCCCCGCGAGGCGGCGTTCGAAAGGTCTCTACGAGACCTTTCCAAAGCACTCTTAAGATTTTAAGATTGAGGTCAACTTTCGGGTCAAGGTCAGGTCAAAGGTCAAATTCAGGGGTTTTGCATGATAAGGCTTACGGACAGCGGAATCGATAGCTGCTGCTCGAAACTCACCAAAAATGACCTCAAAGGCCTAGTGAAGGTACCATGTGCGTATAGGGGTCATACTAAGTACGGGTCAAGGTCAGGTCAGGTCACGAAAGGTCACGGTTTTCACTTTCTGCTACATGGGCGTGCGACACATGTTTTATGGCTTATTTTTCACGCCGAATCCGATGGTAATAGTTATATGTGACCCCAAGTCACTGTGCTGGTGATAAGTGTGCATTAAAAGCATAAAAAAATCGTTTATACCATAAATAACTAAACGAGGGCCCAGAAAAAAGGTCAATTTTTCAACTTTTTATTTTTGACATAAAAATGCACTTTTCTAGACGAACTTTGTCCCAGGAATCTAGTGGTGCCATTTGTTTTCACATGCGATGTTCAGAAGTGCCTCTAATTCACGAAAATGCTTATGACGTCACCATGCCCTTTGCATGTTGGAGCTATTTTTTACAATTTGGGGGTCAAAAATCAAGATAGAAAGTTGAAATTTGGGACATCTAATGTTGTAATAGAGTTCTATAACATATATTCCAGTTTTTTTGGAAATTCCAAAAATTTTGGATTTTATTAGCTGTTTTCCAAAACATATAGTTTTTTTGAATTTTTAGGGGTTAAAAACGCATTTTATGGAAAATCCGAGATAGCCATTTTAAAGAAATCGTTGAGCGGCGTCTATTCATGTCCTTAATTTGCAATTTGCTTAAAACTTCGATTTTTGGCGATTTTTCAAACATTTACCTTTTTTTGACTGAAAACGCCATGTAGTTACATCACTAAAATCGATATATCTCAGAATTTTTTTGGAAATTGTTTCTTAAAGATTGCACGGGAGATGTCAAATTGATGGCGGAGAAGGTATGCCAAGTTTCAAGTAGATAGCGTAAGCGGTTCATGAGTTATTCAAGAAAAACGGAGGGGGGGGGGGTCGGATCCGACCCCCCAGGCGGTCGCGGGTTAAGCCCTACATGCCATCGGACTCCTGAGAACTTCGGCTATTTTCGACCAGTTTTGTGCGCTTGAAATGTGTCTTTATAACCCAATCGTGTTATATGCATTTTATACATCTTTAGTAGGGTAGCTTGGGGCAAGACGCCCCAGATAATTTATTTTGCTACATAACTTTTGTCCCACGTCACCTGGAAGGCCAAATTTGTGCTCAATGCGTTCTTTGGACATTTTACTTTAAATTCCACACCTCAAATTCATTCACTTATGATCGAACTCCTAGCTAGGAAGTGATTTGTGAAGCAACTGCTAATGGGGCATTTTGCCCCAACCCCAGGGCAAAACGCCCCACGGCCTGGGGCAAGAAGCCCCACACTCTAGATTAAAGAATAAACATGCTAGTTGACTTAAATCTTATATGAGAGGTCTGTTAGACCTTGGGAAGCACGGCACTGAAGTTAGCTCCTTCCATCCTATCAGGTGTTCAGCTATGACACTATTGTATGAGCAGGTTTTTCACCTGCCTCATAAGGCCAACTAATAAATTATTGCAATGGAAATGTTAACAAAATACTTCCTTTGCCATCCAGTTGCTGAGAAAATTACATATAAATGCATAGAAACTTACTGTTAGCCAGCTACCGAACATTAGGAAGTGGGTAGTCCGAACAACACATGAGGTAAAACGCCCCATGGAGCGTTTTGCCCCGCGACCTACTGGGGCGTTTTACCCCATCACGTAGTTCGGTCAGAGAACAACGCCTTGCACTCCAGCAAGGCATAATTTAACACGAACCAACCCGGCATTAAAAGCGTTAGATAAAGTTGTTCAAAATATATAAAAGTCGTTAACCTGATGTGGACGATAAAAGAACGCCATGATGCATAAGCTGACAACAAAACATAAAAATCACTCCAAAAACACATTTTTGGCTATATCTCCCTAAAGAGTCATCACAATTTCTTTCCAGTCTGCGCATATAATGATCATATAGTGCACGTTTTATAGAAGAGATGATGTTTCTCCAGAACCTTGCCAGTTCCGAGAAACATCGGTGAGGCGTTTTACCTCGGCGGGGCGACTTGCCCCGGTCTACCCTACACTAAAAATGTTTGAATAAGCCTATGGCATTTGACTTGAAGACCCATGAAAAGACCTGGGTCACCTTTTTAGCTGCATTCGAAATAAATCGCTAAGACCGCTTTGGCTTATATGATTTATATCGCTTTTCGAAACTTCTCTTTTTAGGGAGTTACAAGATGCGAAAACGCCCCACTCACGAAACCGTGACTGGGTTACCCCAGCCCTAACCAGGGGAAGCCTTTTGGGTGAAATAACTGTCAGAGGTAATCATATAACTTGCATGTCTTGAATGTTAGCAGCTCGTACATCTCAGGCAATTGATCAATATTTTAACCCTCCCTAATCACAGTCTCGTCGTTCAGCCGCTCGCTACTTACCATCATACAGGCGGTCTTGGTGTCCCCGGAAGGCCGGTGGCAGCGCGGCCCAGGCCCGGTAACCTCCCGCGCCATCCTGTTCTGACGCCACGCCTCGCGGAAGATGCCCACGTAGAGGCCGGTGGTGGCCGCCAGGGCCATCAGCACGTGCCCAGCCACCAGCGGGACAGCCGTGGCCGCCGGCAGGACGTACACCAGGTCACACTCGGCAGCCGCCGGCGTCCAGGCGTTCAGCTCGTCCACCAGTACGATCGAGTTGAGCAGCAGAGAGTACACGTAGATGATCACGACCAGCGAGAGAGCCCTCCGGCGCGACATCAGAGCGGGGTAGCGCAGCGGCAGCTTCACCGCCACGAACCGGTCCACCGAGACGACTACCAGCAGCAGGATCGACATGGTGTTGGTGGCGTTGGTGACAAAGTAGCGCGCCAGACAGGGCCCCTCCTCGCATCGGTACGACACGTCAAAGTAGAAGGAGATGTAGTAGGGCACTGAGAGCGCTGCCAGGAGATCAGCACCAGCCAATGCGACCACGAAGGTGTTGGTGGTGGTGCGGAGGGAGCGGAACCGCGCCACGGCGACCATGACCAGGAGGTTTCCGGACACAGCCGCCACGCACACGATGGCGTCCAAAGTGACCACGTACGGCGTCATCGCCGTGTAGCCGCCCAGGGAGCAGTTGGAGGGCGCCGGCTCGGTGGGAGGCGGTCGGCCCGAGCCCCACGGAGCGCCCAGCTGCATGGTGAGCGTAGGGGGAGCCTGGTGAGGTTGGAGAGACAGCTGCCCGCTGGATACGGCTACAGACGAGCGCAGTTGTCTTGCGGAGCAAATAGAGAGGCCGTTGTTCACTGCAGTACCAGCTGAAGACGAAGAGTCTGTCTCACGGCCACTGTGTCACTTGAGAGTGGCCGGCCTCCGATCACTCCAGAGGATAGCCGTTTGATTCACATAGTTCGTGGTCTGCACTGGGCCAGCCTAATTTAGCTGGAAACTGAAATGATAAGAAAACGTCCTACTCAAATAGCAGTCGTTTTCCGAGTCATTGCTGGTAGCATCGCTGACAGTACAGTACACAGAACTCACGCTGGTCTTGTGTTTGCTTCTTAGTCTCTTTTATCGGATCTTCAATGCCCTTTCACGGATTTAAACCCATCTTCAGGAAACACTTGAACTCTTCTGATCCACTACCGCAATCCCCGTTCGATATCCTCTCAAAATACTTGGAGAAGGACTCTCGGCCACAGCGACTCTCTCCACCTCACGTCGATGTCGACTCTGACCCCGCCGGTGCCGACGCGCAGCTGTCGGGTCCCGGTCGGCCGATAGCGACTATCGTTCTGCCGGCAATTACCGCACTGTTTGCGCAAATAGCCACACCATCAAACGCCGATGGGCAGCGCCGAGAGCGCGGCCCACGCAGCGCGTATACGGGCGGCGCCGGGCGGGGCAGACGGCACGCTGGGCTGTGGTATGACGCGTATAAAGAGACGATGGTGGGAAGAGTGCTGTGGAAGGGTATAGATAAGGCACATTAAACGTTATGCGCCAGGCGCGGCCATAGCGCGGGACGCGACGCCAGCGCCGCCTATCGGCAACGCCAGAGAACTAAGGTCGGTGAGAGCACGGATTTTGATGGGTGATAGCGCAGTGTGAAAAAATAGGAAAGTTACATGAAAATGTCGCTATACTACGGTATAGTTCACCATCTGAGCGACATATTTATGTATTTTTTATCCATGGCGGATAAAAATTGGACCCGGGATCTGGCCATGGAAGAAAAAAATGTTGGTCAGTGTAAGCACGGATTTTCGTGGAAATGAGCACAGTGTGAGAAAATAGGGAAGTTACATAAAAATGTCGCTATACTACGTTGTAGTTCGCTATCTGAGCAACATATCTATGTATTTGTTATCCATGACGGATAAAAATTGGACCTGGGATCTGGCCATGGAAGAGAAAAATGTTGGTCAGCGTAAGCACGGATTTTCGTGGAAATGAGCACAGTATGAAAAAATAGGGTAGTTACATAAAAATGTCGCTATACTACGCTGTAGATTACCATCTGAGCAACATATTTATGCATTTTTTATCCATAGCGGATAAAAATTGGACCTGGGATCTGGCCATGGAAGAAAAAAATATTGGTCAGTGTATGCACGGATTTTCGTGGAAACTAGCACAGTATGAAAAAATAGGCAGCTTACATAAAAATGTCGCTATACTACGCTGTAGCTCACTAACTGAGCAACACATCTCTGGCCTCTGCACTTTTTATCCATAGGAGAGAAAAATTCGACCCGGGATCGGGACATGGAAGAAAAAAATATTTGCACCACCAAATGAAATTAAGATACATCACTCCCGTTATATTTGTATTGAGTCTTTCATGAAACAATTTCGCTATACTACGGCAAACAGCATGACGTCTCGCATATATTGAGACATATTTTGACAATGCAATGTAGGTATAATACAATTTGGAATGTTCATAAACATTTTATCTTCTCCTGCCAAATCCCGGTGCCAATTCTCCCCGAATATTGGTAAAAAATACGTCAGGGTAAACGCATATTACTGAATTTAATTGCATTATATCGCATTTTTCAGTTTATCGTTAAGTCTCCACACAGGGACGTTTTCATCTGAAGTTTGGCCGCCGGAGCCACCGCGAGGCCTAGTTGCACGAGTAGCCGATAGTCGGCGCCACCGTCGCACTCGGCCGCAGCCAGTATACTGCCAAAAATGGAGCTATTATGATATCGCTCGTTGGTAACTAAGTGTGGCGTGCTTCATAAATGATCGCCGCATAGAGAAACAACCGTTTAATGAAGAAAATGACTTATATTTTACTCATAATAACAATCTGAACCCCAATGTCCGCTTCTATATGGAGTTTGGCGCATAACGACATGTTTTGTTTGCGTTCAATCGCTTAAATCACATAGAAAGTAAGATATGGGCGAAGGCTATTTAGTTTGGTAATATTAAAACTATTTCTTATGCCTATTTAATTTGTTGTATTCTTTTTACCGACAGCCTTACCTAAATAAAACAATTGGCAATAAAAGATACAGAGGAAAGGAAATGCCCACTGCAGTGCTCAAGCCTATCCTCTGCTGACGTGACGCTGCAGTGAGGGCCTCTGATTCCTAGTGTCAGGCTCATTGCTCCCATTGACAACCGTTCTCTTGACTCATGAAAAATAATTCCGATAATCGACACTTAATTGAGCATTCAGACCTTGTCCATATTCTCAGTGTAACACAAACACGGTGTGTTGGGAAACTTCATCGCTAAAGGCACCTCAGTTCGCTCAGCGCTCACATTCCGTTGACAACTTACTGAAAACTGAAGCTTCATAAAAAGACAACAGTCCAGTCCTCAGTATTGTGACAAAACATGACACCATATGGGTAGTTAGGTAGGTACAGCAGCACATGTTATCCCTCTAAGCTGTTGCCGTGTAGCACACATCACTCAAAGAGCCGCTGTGTGTTAGTAAGTGCACTTGGTACACATTATGCAATTACATAGTGTATTCCAGACTTCGCCAAATTAAACAGTAGTACCGTAACGTGCCACGCTGCAGTGTTTCTACTTTTGGTGTTCGGAATTATGTAAATGTTTGAGTTGCAAGTGGCCCTTCTCAGACGGTGAAAGCTGATACATAGTTGCAAACAAATCATCCGCCGGGATAGCGCTACATTTTCATAAGTACACATTGCTCTCCCCCGTTTCAGGAACTAACGCTACCAAGGAATAGAAAGCACTCGTACTGTAACACCATGCGTATCCCAACTGCTAATACTGTACAATCAGGGCCTCTAAATAGACGATCAGGATCTAGCCATCTGCCATTTTCTCTGTGAAACTTCATAAATGTCGTCCAGTCCAACATCAATTATATCAGCATTCATAATCACTTTTCGATGATACACTCGTTGTGACGATCCATCGGTCCTCAAAACAGTTTACATTTTGACCTCAATAGCACCGTCTATTTTTCACTCAGCAACCTGACGAAGTTATAATATCTCACGTTTCCATATACTTCGACAGAGCACACGCCCTCACCGCTAGCTCGGTGTTTCTCTCAGACGGTGTAGTCTCTCAGTGAGTGATCCGTCCAACCTGGCGGGCTCTGGACCACCACGGCGCTGACGCGGTGGCCCAGACCACCGCCGTGCCGACTCCGTCGCGCCCAGGAGCCGTGTCCGCCGAGCCACCCGGCCGGAACGGTTCCGGACAGCGCCGATTGCCTCACAGGCCGTGATATCGTCCGTAATGATTGCCTCAGAGTAGTCCGTATCGTCCGTGCCGATTGCCTCAGCGGGCTGTGTTTTTAGGCGGGCCCCATCACCCATTTTATGACAAAGGTTGGATCACGACTCACGAGCGCTGATAGTCATGGCCTCGACATCTTTCAGTCCGAAAGACAAGCGACTGTGACAGTCTCTCGTGGTTTGTTCACCTGTCGCGCGGCACATGTCCCTCACTCTCCAACCCTTCCCTGACAGACAGACGTATCCTCCCCTGTCGCCCCGGACGCATTCTCGTCAGAGCCCGCGGCCAGAGCAGCGCGTAGTCGCCGGTTTCAGGTCGCCGACACCCTGGCGGCGGTGGCCGGAACTACTGCGCCGCTCTAGTCGACACCTGAAACAAACAGACCCGTGTGTGAAAATGGTGCACAGTAAATGTACGATATTCCCGGGTTTGAAGTGCACTATGCTGCGCTCAGTAGCAGCCATCCACTCACTAGTCACTACTGTATAACGGCACTGTTTCATTCCCTGGTGTGCAATTTCGTTTATGATGATAAACGTTTATTCGCAGGTGGTTAGCGCATAAATGGAGCAACAAAGAAGGATTCCGTTTAATTTCATCATTTGCGTTGAGCTGCGACTAAACAGAAAGTTAAATGAATGAAAGAAGTGTGAGATTGCTTAGACTTGTGCCCGGCAGATTCATTCCTCGTGATTGCCGGTAGCAGACCCTTTACAAAACGCAATCATGGCTGCGTTTTGTAATTCAGTGTGGCACAATTAGTTATGTTCATGATTCGTTGCGTTTCGGGTTTGTGCTAGCCTCTGCAACTAGCGCAATGGCCAAACTAAGGTTCGATCGTCAATTATATCAAATCAGCCTCTAATCATATGTAGTCAGTTGATCGTTAAGTGACGTCACAAGGCGGGTGGTGACGTCACGAATCCCACTAGAGCTACGTCACACCGGATCCGTTGCCGTTCTCAGAAGGGTTGGCCCATACCGGACACTGAGTAACGGGGCACTTCTCAATAACCGCAAACGTCAACTTCACTAGACATGTCGCCCACTTTCTCCTGTGTGTTTTATGCATTGACATTGCCCAACCGGTCGACTTCAATAGAAGCGGCTCCTGTTTTCATTTCGATGAAGCCTCACTATCAGTTGGTGACCATGGCGCTATCAGACTCTGGCCGGGACGACCGTGGGGATGGTCGTGATCGGTTCGCGGCAGTGAACTTTCAAACCGGCGAGTGACATTCGCCGAGGCTGAGAAAGCGCCTCGCCGAGAGAAAAACCCGTTTGTTTGCGGTCCATTCGCTCAGCAACAGTTGAGCACAGAGTCACGCTTCAGCAGACACCGGCACCGGTCAGCTGCTTCGTGATCAGTTATCAGTGTCTGTATCATCATCCGCTGTCTAGGGGATACAGGAGAGAGACAAAGAGAGACAAAGCGATAAATCGCATAGCTAGAAAAAAGAGGAAGGTGCTTGGTAAAAAAGAGTGATAAATAGTGAGAAAGCGAGAAATAGGCATGGAAAGGTGGGACGCAGAAAGACAAAGGAGAATATCAGAGGACAGAGAGAGAGAAAGAGAGAGAGAGAGGGAGGGGGAGGGAGGGAGAGAGGGAGGGAGGCAGAGGGAGAAGAGAGAGAGAGAGGGAGAGAGAGAGAGAGGGAGAGAGAGAGAAAAAAAGAAAGAAAGAAAGAAAGAGAGAGCGAGAGAGAGAAAGAGAGAGAGAGAGAGAGAGAGAGAGAGAGAGAGAGAGAGAGAGAGAGAGAGAGAGAGAGAGAGAGAGAGAGAGAGAGAGAGAGAGAAAGAGTGGGGAGAGAAATGTAGAGAGATATAATACCAGCTCGTGAATTATGAGGCATTCTTCACGGATCACCTCGGTACCGTCTCGCCTCTGCCCGGCTAAAGTGCTGCTCTCTCCCTAAGAGGCGGGTCGGGATCACGGGGCCGTCTGCTACGGGTCACGTCGCCCCGCTGCCCCCACCCACTCTCCACGCTTCGGTGCTGCAGAGGAGAGAGAGGCGGAGAGGCTGGGAGAGAGCGGCGCGGTGGGTCAGCACAAGCCGAGATGGAGACTAGCAACTCTGACCGAGTACATACCTTTGTCAGACAGGTCGCTTATCAGCTGCATAGCTCAGCTCAACTGTCTGACAGTCTTATCCCCAATAGCGACACAGCTCGCCCTGTTGGACATCAGAGAGACCTCAAGACCTGAGTCCACCGTCAACTTACACCCTGCTGACACACGCCAGACATTCATCCGGCACTGAACGACGGATTAGAGAGGTCAGAGAGCTAACCTGTCTTCGCAGCAGGTGAACGTGATATGTATCCGATTCACAGACAAATATCAAGCATCTTTATTCTCTAACCGACGCCGTTTCCGGCATCGAATGTGCTGTTAGCCGGACAGTCACGCCCTACCCCAGGCCCCGCTGCATTGTCAAGGCCAGCGAGGCTGCCTAGCAGCAACCGGCCGCGCCGCCCGCCCCGCTGCCAACACAAGCAGCCCGCATAGCACTGACCCACCGCCTTGCCCAGCAGCGACCCGCTGACCGTTCAAAAGCTAACCCATCGCCCTCCTGGCACGAACGGCACGCCGGGTCAGTTGGGTCAGCGGCTGGCGCAGACTAACAGCTCGGAGTGGGACAGGCGGCGGCCAGTGGGGTGGGCGATGGCTAATGCACTGACCGACGTAAGACAACGCGGAACGCTCAATAGTCAGCCGCGCCCCAGTCAGTGCATTATTAGACGACTGAGGTCTGTCTATTGGTTCATTTTCGTCTACTGAGTCGGTATTATAAAGGCTGCGTCAGTAAGCTTACTATCAGGCAATGTTATGTCGTGTCCTGTCGGCTGATGAGTTGCTCTATCATCTGATTTAGTGCGCAGTCCTTTGTTTACATTTACTAGTATGTCTGATTCTGCTCTCTGTCACCTCACAATAATGTCAATGATTTGAAGTCATGAAATTTTGACGGCGTTGTCAGTCTGATGGCCGTTCAACGCCCTCCTATTGTCAATTCCCGCTTTGTTCGCCGCTCGACCGACCGGCATACCACACCTGGTACCGCCCGGGGCGACCCGTGCGCCGACGGACGGCCGACCAGCCGTTCCCGAGTAACGGGTCGGCTACAGGCGGCGACAGGAGCCGTCTTTGCAGCCACGTGAACGGAGGGATCCTTGGGCGGTGACTGTTCGGCAGTGGTTAATCTACACCTACTCATCCGGATGAGCAACATAGGTGTGAGCATTGAGAGCACACCTTGCAGTGACTCAACTCTCCCTCCTTAGTTCATACTTCAGCCCTAGCTAACCGACCCCGCCTTCTAACTCCACCTGACTGCATCGTGCCCAGCCCGACAGCACTCCCCGCGCACCCTCGCCGCGCCGGTCGTCACGCGCGACTGGTCACCGCCCTGCCCCCGGCCAAGATAACGTTACCGGACACGGCCGGCGCTGTCCGGACGACCACGCCCCGAGCAAAAACCATCGATCGACACCGTCATTTTCAGGTATTTACGCATGATTGATGATACAGGTGTTTCTGGATGCCAATAAGTGGCGAGGTGCTAAATCACGAAAATCTGAACCATGATTGTAGATTTTGGCCGGCAGGGATATGAAGGAATGCAATAAAGCAAAAGTGCCGAACAAAGAAATGCAACCGTGTATGCATCATACATACGTTGATAATGCCTTGGGGACTGTGAAGCTGATATGCGTATATCTAAAACCATTCAATGTATGACTTAAGAGTCATGTTACCTTTTCCTCAAGTTATAATGAATATGAAATAATATTTTCGGAGTTTCTTGAGTGATATATATTGAAAAATTGATAGCAAATATTTCGATACTCGTAGTGGTACCTTTTTCAATGCGAGTGATGCACAGTCCAACCAACAACAAAGCTCGCACTGTGCATCACTCGCATTGAAAAAGGTACCACTACGAGTATCGAAATATTTGCTATCAATTTTTCAATATATATCACTCAAGAAACTCCGAAAATATTATTTCATAAAACCATTCAGCCAAAAAAAAAAACAATCTCAATTATCTAAACGAATGACATGCTTACTGCAAGGCGATTGGATGGGATTGTCAGTGGTCCGATAGCTAAAGCCATAATTAATGAAATCGCGTCTATAACGGCATATTCATTAGTATTTTCAACAGCCGTTTCCGATATTTATTGGCTGGTCTGTCTGCGGCCACATCCAGGTTCAATAGTTTCCGATGGCCCACGAACCAGTTCCAGTTGGCGATTATTTACCGCTGGGTTTGCCCGTTTTCCCGGCGATAAGGACCGCTAGTTCCCGGTGGGTTTGTCCGTGTTGCCACGCCCCGAGCCATGGATGACCGCGGATACGACCAGGGAAAACAGCAGCGGGTGTGGGCTGTGGACGACTGAGGGTGTGGGGTGTGAATGACCACTGGTGTGGGCGGTGTATAGCCAAGGGTGTCGCCAGTAGGTCGCCCTCGGACAGGGGCCGGAGCACTGTCCCACTGACCGGCCACCGCCCCTCTGTTTTGTCGGTGCCGCGCGCGTGACCACCGTGCCACTCTGTGCCACCGTGCCACTCTGTACCGCCGTGCCGCTCTGTGCCGCTGTGGTGTGCCGCCCTCTGCCGACTGCCGCGGTGACCGAGATGCACACAATGGACAGCCCTCCCCTCCCTCACCTCCCCTCTCATACGAGGTCCCTGTTGGGGCGCGCCTTCCCTTCCCCGCTGATGATTCTAATACGGCGAGAGCCGGAAAATTCAAGCCTCCAGTTCCCAACAGATGGCATTGGAAACACACCTTAGCATGTCTACTCAGCATTTTTGAGTCCGTAGCTAAGGAAGGTTTCATCAACTTCATCGAGAAGCGGCGTTCCATCTGTTGAATAGGCCAGCAGGCGCGGCCAATCCGGTCGTTCCAGCGCCATATGGCAGTTGATCGCTAGCTAAGGTTCGTTAGCCCTCGATGGCCTATTTCCCGGAGCCGCTGTCGGGTCGCTTGGTATAACTGTGGCGTGGCTCCACCATCTGTTGTGTTAGCCGACAGCATGCATACTGCTATAGGCACTGTCTGAATATCGGCGTGTGGCTTGACCCAGTCTGTATATCGGTGTATAGCAGCAGGCAGCATGCTTATACCGCTACGTACTGTCTGAATATCGCTGTGTGGCTCGACACTAGTCTAGATATTGGTGCAAGGTTTGACACTTACCGGTATAGTTAGTTATACCGTTTTTTTTTGTACGGCAGTTGTTTGACCTTGTTCGTTTGACAATTCGATTTGGACTTCATACGCCCCGGCGTGATATTTAGTCAGACACGGTAGCAAGACTGGTGTGGAGCCTTTACCGAATAACGGACACCACCTATAGATTTGCCAATGAGCAGTTGATAGTAATCGAGAGCTATAAGGACTGATATATGCTGAAGCCTTGAAATGCTGAATGATGCAGGGCTTAGCACCATGATAGTTTCTGAAATAATGCACACAAGTCCCTTCATACTTACAAATTTATATGTGGCAAGGGATAACAAAAGATTAAATAGTTTCTGCCACAGATAGAACATGTATGACATCGCGTGAGCCTATATGTATAAACACAACTATTTCAGATCCAGACTAAATTTAGACTGCTGATAAGTTATTCAAGGCACTTGTCATGGACTAATTACGGAGCGAGCGAAGCGAGCGGAGTCTCATACTGAATTAAGGGAAAATCCTGAGTATGAGCGGCCGGCCGGCCGGCCGTGGGGACGCTCTTCAAAAGCTAATATCTTAGGAACGGGACATCCGATTGACAAGCGGTCTTCTTTACTGAATGTCACTTGGACGTAAAAGTTATGTGGTGTGATGGCCACCATGCGTTCTTGCCAACTACCGCACGTGGCGCGTGGTAAAGTTGGACATTTTTTAAGAACCCCCAAAATTGCAACCTCAATAACGGCACAACGGTTGGGCCGATTGAATTGAAACTCGGTACACAGTTAGGTCTCCATCACATAATTCATCTGCATGTGTTAAGGTTGGGGTGCTACAGCACGTGCGCACGTGCAGGGGGCGCTCCCAGATCTCGAGAACGGCCTGGCCGATTGCGCTCAAATTTGGTACACGGTTGGGGACCAGTTAGTAGGGTGCCGTGCAAAAGTCAGTTTGGACCCCGCTTGCACGTGCGCACGTGCAGTGTGCCGCTTCCAGATCTCGAGAACGGCTAGGCCGATTGCGCTGAAATTTGGAACATCGCTAAAGACCGATTAGTAGGGTGCAGTGCACAAGTTAGTTGGAGGTACCCCCTCGCAATTTCGCACGTGCAAGGCCCATCCTCTCGCTCGCTCCGTTGGTCGCCCAAAAGGCGTTTTACTGGTTATCAACATGGTGTTCCGTTATAGGCCTGCGATATCCTTCATCGGTTTCTTTCTTCTGGGCAGCAGTAAATGGCTAATCCTTTCCCTGGATGTCACCTTTGTAACGGGATTAAGTCCGTAAGCCGATTAGTAACCGCAAGACTATCATGGCCTCCCCACTTTACAGGGTGATTGCAATTATGATTGAACGGTGGGAAAGAAGGAAATTATTTTGCTCTTCCGAAGCCCAGACACATGCTGGACAGTGGATACCCATATGCCAGCATATGTTTTATGGAGTTTTAACAAGTTTGCTTGCTTTGAAAGTTGTGACTTTGTCGCATTATCAAAACATCAGAAGAAGCAGTTAATGCAGCCGTTAATTGAAAATGGTTTCTATGTAGTTCCACGGCCGTCTCTCCGTACTATTTTAGCGATAATATACCTCCGCATGGCAAAATCCCGCTATACAAAAGCGCATTTCCAAGATTGCATTGCCCTTGTAGCGAAACAAGGCAATTGTTAAGTCCTTGACAGCGTGGAGGAATTATGATAATCTGTCCGCGAATCGAGGTAATTTTGAGCAAACAGGCCGTCACATAAGCGTTAACCGCATGTGTTTAGGTAACATAATCATTGAGTCCATATGCGGAGCTTTCACATGATTACCCACTTAAGTAAAATATGTCTCCGGTTAGCCGGAGCCCGCGGAGTAAGCCAGGTTCCATGAAGCTGGTTATGTGCTCACGCACATGATGTCGCAATAGCTTATAGCTGCACGGTTCACCTTCCCACTGCTCAGTAGAGTGGGACGTCTCGGTCTTTGTAATTGGGCAGCAGCAGACAAGAGGCAAGTACCGCTTGCCGAGGAAACACGGATCGAATCCCACACATTGGTTCATTAGCAGGTGGGACGCTGCTCTGAAGATTGTAAGATTTTCAATCTTGGCATAGCAGTGACGTAAGTTAGCGGGGCGATCTCTGCCCGTCGTAAGACGATTTGTATGCGCCCTTCGAAGTCGAGGTGCATGGGATAAACCTAGGCCATCACAAAGCGAGAAGGTGAAATGGGTGAGCCCAGCCATCACAAACCGATTAGGTGAACGAGGTAACCCCAGCCCGTTGTGATCCGTATGGGTGAGCGGGTGACCTCGGTCGGGGCGGCGTCACCGTACCGAACCGCCGGCCTTGGTCATCCCTGGCCGGCTGATGGGTGACGAAGTCGGGCACGGTTCCGGTCCCGCGGACGCGGCTCCGGTGAGCCGGCCGCTCTGGCTTCCACCCGTCTGAGCAGCTCCCACGGCTAATCTGGCCGCTGAGCGGCACCACAGACTCACAGGGTCGGAGCCGAGTCCGACCGACCGCCGGGGACGGCCCCGCTGTCGGTGTCCCTTTCAATGGCACTTCAGAGCGGCTTTAAAGTGGAGTGACCCTGAGACTGTTTGAACTGGAATTCCACCGGAGTGGCCCTGACGGACCGCTAAATCACAGAAGTTCTGTCAAAGAAACCGTTCAAGGAAGAAATAGACCACCCGCTAAAACAAGGCAATTCTGACATTGACGAGCCATAATACATTCACTGGGAACCTGTGTGGCACCTGGGGCATTTCCTGGACTGGTGCTTTTGGCACAAATGTGGTGCTTTGTTATCTGTATCAATTAGGACAAGAGCAGAGAATCAATTGTTTCCATGTGTTGAAAAATGTATTTAATACGTCAATAATTTTATAGCGTAAAAATATTCAAGTCAAACTATATAATATAGGTATGTATGTACATCCTTGACGTTGCTGATAATATGATTTGAATAGACTGAAGGTATATACGTATTACATAAGGCATTCATCCCTTTGGCCGTTCTGGTCCTAGTTTAGTTACCTACTCTCTCCGGGTTGTTCAATGAATGCATGACTCCACAGGTGTATGTATGTACGACCCACTCTCTCTGATAGTACTGACCTGCTGTCCGTCTACTGACGATGCGCAGCTGCCGTGTCGGGAGCCGACCCGGTGTCCCGGCTGACAGACAGTGGCCTCCGCCGGAGCGTGCAGACCACAGAAGAGCAGCCGACCGGCGGCGTGCACCTCCTCTCTGTCCAGAGCGCGCTCGCAGCTGGCGCAGCGCAGGCACGCCACGTGGTAGACCGAGTCGGCGGTGGGCCGCACGCCGTCCTGCGGGTACACCGTGTCCTCGCAGCGCACACAGAGCGGGTACCAGCCGTCAGAGTCGGTGCCGAGCGCGGCCAGCGCGGTGGCGGCGGCGCGGCGCGAGCCGGAGGGCTTCCCGGCTGCCCGGTACCGTCCCCGTCGGTCCACCGTCCATGCGTCGATCGAGACACCCGAACGGGAGTCGGTGTCGGGAGCTGGAGGCTCCTCTGAGCGGTTGTCGGGCTCCTCGAACTTGGATCCGAGGTCGTCCCAACTAGCCGGGTAGCCTCGCACCGTGCCTCCCAGCACAGTGTACAGGTCTGCCTTGCGGAGTCCACTCATATCTCCACTCTCGAGAAGAGCCTGTTTGAAGGCGAGGAATGAGTCGGGCAGCGCCGAGCGAGCCTGTAGCTCCTCCAGTCGGCGCACGTTGTGTACCGTCAGAGCGGCGGAAGGCACTTCCACTCCAGGAGGCGGACAATCGCCCTGGCTGCTGCCTCCCTCGCTGCTGGCTCTCTCAACTTCCTCTCCGAAGTAGAAGTGTTTGTCGACCGTGGTGGCTGCCGATACTTTCCGAGTCGCTGTTGGACTCTCAGGGACAGCAGGCTCTTCCTCTTGCTCCTCCTCAGAAGAGGCGAAGTCAGCCGGTGAGACGCGCTCACTGACAACAATGAGGAACTCCTGGCTGCACTCCCGCTGCTCTTTAGCGGGGATGTAGCAGTAGCCCGACTCCTCTGAGATGACCGTAAATGATTCACCGGAATCCTCCTCAGTTGCAGCAGCGGCGCACGCCTCCGACTCTCCGCCGTCACTGGCGCCGCACCTCTCGCCCGCCCGCTCCGCGCGCGACTCGCTCTGTTCCGAGACGGCGACCCGCTCCGAGCCGCCGTCCGTGACGTCACTAGCCCGCTCCGAGCCGCCGTCTGTGACGTCATCGGACCGCTGCGGCTCCCGGGCGCGGTCACGGGTCGCTGCCTTAGCGTGGCTCTCTCTATCCGAACGCGGTGTCGCCTCGCTTTCTGACCCTTCCAGACCGGAGTCGTGAGCGTCGCTGCTCGCCGCCCAGTCGCCGGCGAATGCCGCCGGTGCGCTGATGACGTAGCTGGGCTCGGCGAACAGCTGATTCTGGTATTGTTCTGCCAGTGACAGCCGGTAGTGGAGGCCGGTCGGTGGAGGCGGTACCGACTCGACACCGCTCCGCTCACTGTAGCTCGACGCTGCCGACGAGGGAGCCGGACTGGCGTCGGCGTCGGTCTCGATGTCAGAGGTGGATGTGCAGGTGGCGGCGTCACTGGTCGACGAGCTGCGCCTGGGTAGGGGTGCTGCTTTCGGAGAGGGGAGGTACCGCACTACCTTGGCCTCCTGCCGCAGGTGGCGGTCGCGGTGGTGAACCAGCTGAGTGCGGCGGCGTGTGCGCTGCGGTCGCCGCGGCAGATCCGGTGACCCGCTGCCGTCGACCTTTAGCGTGACCCGACCGCTGGCGAAGGTCACCAGAGAGGCGTCCCCCGACTCCGAGCGGGGGCTGGGAGCGCGAGCAGGGGTCGGTCCCACGCCGGCAGGCAGACTTTCTGGCCCTCCGCTGATGCGAACTATTGTCACGTTCGACATCTGAAACATGAAAGGAGATACGGGATGAGAATGTAGCATAACTATGAGAATGTGTCATAACTAGACCTTTCACTACATAGTCTGTAAAGAGAAATGGGCTATTTGAATGGAATGCCGATTGTTGGCATGTTGATTGGCTCTCTGGAAGCTGCCTGATAAACTAATGATTTGTTACATAGTTTTAGGGGCTTATCTGTTTCAACAATCAGCATTTTGAATCATCCACGACGTTTCATTAATTTAGACGAATGAAATCGTAAGCGCACAAAGTCGAGCTCCTATAAATTTTTGAGATTTTCTTCTATCGCTTCAACCTAAAACCTAGGTTTTGAAACTGAAGATACATCTTAGTATTTCGTCACAGCAATGTAAAGGCATCATTTTACCATAATTGGTGCGGCATTTCGGAATTCGTGAGTCGGACATTCTCCTTGATGCCGGCCCGTTCCCACGATATTCGCTATTCCACGCTGGTGATGTTCAGGAAATGAGATATAGCAGACCGGTAATTGTCTATTGTTCAAGTCGAGTCGAACGGAAACGATCGTGCGCGGTATATAGCGTAAAATAGCCTCTATACGGACAAAATAGGATCTCTGTTTCAACAACTTACTACCAGCCCCATACAATAGTAAGAGTTTATCACACCTGAAGACCCAAGAACGGCACTATAACGACGCTCCGCTGTTGGCATTGTTCCATAGAGCTTAGCTCCCCAATATACCCAAGTGGCCATACCGGAATGCTGTTATAACGGTTGTACGGTTATTGGTCGCGCCGGGCCGCGCGGCGGCGGCGCGGGACGCGCTGTGCGTGCGCCTGGCACTTATGCTGTACCGCTGTGTCTCCGTCGCAGAGCTGATGCTGGGCAGTATAGGCTGCGGAGTAAACTGGGACTTCTACGGCTGAGCATCCGGGCGACGGTGGTCAGAGGTCAAGTGCGTAAAAAACAAAACTGCACGGCGGTAAGCATTTGCTTCGAACTTTTGATATAGGTGATAAGTGTATGCCAATAATTTTTATGTGGGTCGTCCCAGGTCCCTGGGTGCCAGGTACTAATTGTGCTATTGATGGACCGGTGTCGTATGTGGTGCGCCTAGAAGACGGAAGATGCTGGAGACGTCACATAGATCAACTTCGTGAAAGGGGACGAGAGTCAAAAGAGATCGATCTCCTAGTCGGCGGCGCTGACGGAGCTCACACAGCTGCCTCTGGCTGGCTGCCGACTGCCGCCGCGCCGCCGCTGCGTTGAACGCGGCCACTCGCTGCGATCACGCCCAATAACCGCACAATAGTGGACTAGCAAAGCAATGTGTGAATTTTACTTTCGGAAGATCAGAAATTTCGATTGAAAGATAATAAGCTGAACCCAATAGCCTCGTGATGCTAGGGTGCTTGCTGGTTGTTATACCATGTAAATCTGGCCGGCTTGGGCGTACCTACCTAATTTAATGCTCTGCGAGGCGCCATTATGGAGATATAGGTATTTACCGAACTTGATGCTTGGTAATGCATTCAATAGGATGCGTAGCTAGAAACGACTGCTTAGTAGTCCCCCAATAGACTACGAGTGTCTGCCCAATGAAGTATAGGTATCATAGAGAGACCTCTCTCCCCCTCCCTGACCTCAAGACGGCACCAGCACCCGACATGCTGTGCTGATTCGGCGCACCACGAGGTGGCGCTCGCTGTTGGATTTAGCGGAACGGAGCCACAGACAGGGTCTGGTGGGCTCTGCCACCTACCGGTCAGGTCTCGAAGCAGCCAGTACGAAATCAGTCCACCTAGTGGCGAGTCTCCGAAGCAGTGGCGGCACAGATGTCTCTGTCAACAACCATTGGAGCCGGGTGCCTTTACGACTGGATAGGTACTTGTGATTGTGAAATGTGAATCCGATAGGGGCCATTGGGATTTGAGAGGCCTATGGCGATCTAAGAGGGCCACACCACATGCTTCCATCGTTGATCATTCAATACACACATTGATCTATCCGCGGGCCCTCTGGGTCTTAGGACTTGAAACTGGTCGAGAAAAGGCATTGGGCAAAATAGACTGTTAAACATTCGATTGTTAGGGGTGGCAGGGGAAAGGATTTATTTATAACCGACAGGCTCATCTGAGCTAGTCTGGCTATTGACACCTGGAAGTTCCTTTTTTAATGATTTCTCTATAGCTCGGTGCTGCCAATATGCACTAGCTCCAGGAACACCGGCGAGCTGAATAAGGCTTCGCAGGGGCCAACCACTAAGACCAGTATAACGACTTTTGGGGCGACTAACGGAGCGAGCGAGAGGGTGAGCTTGCACGTGCGAAATTGCGAGGGGGTACCTCCAACTGACTTGTGCACGGCACCCTACTAACCGGTCTCTAGCGATGTGCCAAATTTGAGCAGAATCGGCCCAGCCGTTCTCGAGATCTGGAAGCGGCACCCTGCACGTGCGCACGTGCAAAATGGGGCCCAACTGACTTTTGCACAGCACCCTACTAACCGGTCCCTAACCATGTGCCAAATTTGAGCGCCATCGGTCCAGCCGTTCTCGAGATCTGGAATCGACCCCTGCACGTGCGCACGTGCAGCAGCGCCCCAACTCTGGCACATGGATATGCAGTGCCTAGTGGGTGCCTACCTACATACATGCCAACTTTCAGCGCAATCGGCCAAGTAGTTACCGAGATATTGCAACAATTACAAAACGGACACCTCTTCGTTTTGCACGTGGCACGTGCATAAGGGGTCACCCACATGCATCGAGAATAGTCCAATACTTGGTAGAAGGAATGAAGCTATCCTACAAAAATTACCGCATGTAAATCGGTCAAGTGGTTGCTGAGATATAAGCCTCGCAAAAGCGTGACCACGGCCGGCCGGCCGGCCGGCCGCTCATACTCAGAAACTTCCGTTAACCCGCGCCCTGCTGGGGGGGGTGTTTGAACACCCCCCCTTGTGGTTTTTCGCGAATATCTCAAAAACGGCGGCGCGGAGCGCCGCCGTTTTTGGTACACCTTATCATACATCAATTCTACACATGTTGTGAAAATTTCAGACCAAGGTCATTCAAGGTCAGGTCACCAGGTCACTTGAAGTGACCTCACCTCATAAAAAGTTTCAATGTCTGTCATAGCTACACCGAGTGACCGATCGCTTTGAAACTTTCAGCGATTGCTAAGAGCAATAGCATGTACAAAATGTATATCTCAGAATTTTGATATCGATGACCTAAGGTCAGGTCAATTTTGCGACCTCCCCATTATAAGTCAATGGGAGAAAATTGAAATGAGCCTCTTTTGGATGAAAGACATTATAAACACTCCCAAACACCGAATTACAAGTGGTTTAGACACACTGAACATGAAAATGGTGTCCGTGACCCTTGTTTATGCCCTGAGGTCATCTTAGGTCACGAATGGTATCTAACAGTTTTTCGCAAATAACTTTTGATAGAGGCATGCTAGAGCGATGAAAACGCCTTAGATGTGTTCAGCTCGACGATACGGATCGACTGATATGCAACATGACCCTTTTCGGTCAGGTCATGACCTTGACCTGAGGTCAAATTTTCAAGTTGACCTTTCAAGGTCAAGTTATAGTTCATTCGATGCGTCTTGACGAGAGGAACACGATGCCGGTAAAAGTAAGCTCGTACAGGGCTTGGGTCAAAAGTTATTGCAGAAAAACTGTTTCCAAAAAAATCGGCTATTTTTGCAGTTTTTGCCCCCTGCAGGCAAAACCGTTGACGTTAGGTCAAATCTGAGAGAATTACTCAGAAAGGGCGTTAATAGGGCTATCGAATGCGCTTTTCCGCGGCGCTGTAGCTCTATTTGTTCCCGAGTTATGCGTTGGCTTCTTGGAAATTTTCGCCATTCGACCTGGAAATCGGCGAAATTTTGCCTTCAATGACCTCTGGTGACCTGACCTTTGACCTGACCAAAAAATTGACCGAAGTGATTTCCTCATTAGTTTTGACGCCCTTTCGAACGCCGCCTTCCGCGTATCGCTACGTGGCCCAGGAGCCGAGTTACAAGGGGGGTGTTCAAACACCCCCCCCCCCCCCAGCAGGGCGTGGAAATCCAGGACCCCCAGCCGGGCGCGGGTTAATCTAACGAAAGACTACGCTCGCTTTGCTCGCTCCGTAATAAACCAGTATAGCGCCTTTTGCGGCGACTAACGGAGCGAGCGAGAGGGTGGGCCTTGCACGTGCGAAATTTCGAGGGGGTACCTCCAACTGACTTGTGCACGGCACCCTACTAACTGGTCTCTAGCGATGTGCCAAATTTGGGCACAATCGGCCCAGCCGTTCTCGAGATCTGGAAGCGGCACCCTGCACGTGCGCACGTGCAAAATGGGTCCCAACTGACTTGTGCACGGCACCCTACTAACCGGTCCCTAACCGTGTATCAAATTTGAGCGCAGTCGGTCCAGCCGTTCCCGAGATCTGGAAACGACCCCTGCACGTGCGCACGTGCAGCAGCACCCCAACTCTGGAACATGTATATGCAGTGCCTAGTGGGTGCCTACCTGCATGCCAACTTTCAGCGCAATCGGCCACGTAGTTACCGAGATATTGCAACAATTACAAAACTGACACCTCTTCGTTTTGCACGTGGCACGTGCATAAGGGATCACCCACATGCATCGGGAATAGTCCAATACTTGGTAGAAGGAATGAAGCTACCCTACAAAAATTACCGCGTGTAAATCGGTCAAGTGGTTGCTGAGATATAAGCCTCGCAAAAGCGTGACCACGGCCGGCCGGCCGGCCGGCCGCTCATACTCAGAAATTTCCGTTAATCTAAGGAAAGACTACGCTCGCTTCGCTCGCTCCGTAATTAATTCAAGTGACTACGTTACGAGTAAGTTTAGTTATTTTCTGAACGCCATTTATCGGCCTTTGCAGTATTCTTATGGCTGAAACAGACTCTTTCCGCATTCAGGAAATCGCTTGCGAGAACCTATTCAAATATATTATAATTCTGCCTGCATCAATCGCATGCGGGAGGTG